GTGACCCAGCCAGATAAAGTGACAGCAAGAATTACCTAGCAACCAACTGCTGTGAGAAAACATTCAAATGGTAATGTATACTATGACTATTTCACTTACATCGTCGGCGAGCCACGTCTCCAAAGTGGTGATGTCGTGAAACCACTGATAGGCATCTGAGATCGTCCTCTCCCTAACGATGCGGCTATGTCTGAAAAAAACAGAAAAAATGTTAAAAAAGATATAGATGAGTTAGTTTAGGGTGCTCCACGGAAATTCTAAAATACTTACCCGGGCTTAATTATCCTCCACTCCATCTCGAACGCTTTCCATTTGGCTGCGTCCACGTCACGAAATAGATTGGGGTACGTCATGTCGACGAACGTCCTCCTCTTCACCTAGGCCGTGAAGGGAGAAACGACGTACTGCGAAAGCAACCTGACCTTCTTGCCGACCACCTGCTCCGGGGCATTAACAGCACGCCTTTTCCCCGCATCCACTTCAGGCGTACGCTCGTCTTCCACCTCGGGGACCACTTCCGTCTACCCTCCTCCGAGGCCACTACCTCTGTCCTACCCTCCTTTGGGCTCCCCACCACCACCACCATCGGGGTCACCCCCTCGTGGCTCCCCACCTCCTCCGGGGCTACTGCTTACGTCTACCCTCCACCGGGGCCTGTGTCCTACCCTCCTCCGGGGACCTAAAAAATGATTCCAACGCAGCACTATCCCCCTAGAAATGACTCCTTCCGTTGCCCCCTCCGTCACCCCTTTTCATGCCTCTATATCGCTTCAGAGGGTTTCGATCTAATCCTGAAGATCTACTACGTGGAGACGTACAACTCCAACGTCATTAGATAGCCCCTCGACCCATCTCCTAAACTCTTGCGCCATTTCACCCATCTGACCCGCTATGAATACAGTCAGATGGTCATACAGATCAGTGGACGGAGGAGAAGGTGACTTGATCGGACGGCGGTGATGTCCTCGCCGATCGTCGATCTACATGATCGCGCTCTTACACGAATGAGAACATTTAAAATTATTAATTTTAATGAAAATCGGCCAACGCATACAAAACTGTAATAAAAA